TAATGATAAGAACGCGTCAGCATGGGAGATCAAGTGTAGTGTACACGGAAACACTTGAGCATACAATCAAGTATGGCGAGGCGCTAGAGGAATCCCCAAGGTCGGTAACAATAGCCTCGGTCAATGACTCTCGTGCCCCAGATCGCTTTGGGGCTTCGGAGGACAAGATTGGTGGCAGCCCGGCAACTCCCTCAATAATAGTCACCAGGATTTGATCGGGAAGGCGGTACATCTGAACATCAGGTAAGCAAACGATCGGTGGTGTATACAGCCAGCCAACCAGCTCAAGAAATTTGAATACACACGGTGTACCTACATAGAATTTGTAATCCTGGTCCAGGAGGAATAAATAGAGAACGCCCGGTTCTTTGGAAGCTGAGTCGACAGCAGAGAATGTGCCAGTCTTGTCGTAGTACAGACTACAGGAGATCCATTTTTTTACTGCGAATTGCTCATGTAGGACGACTTCGTCAAGATCCCCACTTTCGTCGGATTGAAGAAATAATAACGTTGAGTCATCCCGAAGAATTGCAAGGCAGGGGTCTGCAAAGCTGGCACTAATAGCCATCCGTTCATCATTGGTGTCATCATCCCAGATGGGATATATTTGGGTTAAACCCAAATCTATGTCTCATCAGCGCAACTATTCCAGCACTAAATTGGGCCGGGGGCTTACCGCTATCGTAAGTTCGAACTTCGTTTTTCAGGACTTGAACTACCCGCTTGTTACCCATCAAGGTGTTGATTTCAATAGTCACATCTTCATTTGGATTGAACTCAGTGGCTTTGAAGGGTTTCAAGACACCGGAATCTTCCAAGTAAACAAGAGACTCTTCTTTATCGACGCTTTTCGTGCGAGAAGCGATGACAAAATGGCGTGATTGAGATCGACAGTCGTCCGAAATGCCGGTTGCCGCCTTTGTGCCTTGAATTACAGAAGCTGTCCAGAGACATTCCGCAGCCTCAACTTCAACGGAGTGTATCACATCAGGATCAAGTTCGCGACTCAGTGCTATCAAACCACCGCCACTATCAGAGCCCTGAGCTGCCACTAGTTCCAACCTAGCAGATTCATGTTCGGAATGATTATATTCCGTTTCCGCAACCACGGAGCGCCTGCCTAGGACAATGTCCCTCACAGGGGCGATGTTGATGAGTCTGTCGAGGACGCGAAAGTAACGTATACCAGAAGTATGTTCAAGCTTTGTGGAACCACCAGTCGGAGCCAATTTTGGTGATGTGGCATATAAATCGTCTTCGTAAACATCGTTTTCACTCTGGTCATCGTCCATGTCCACAGAATCATCCATAGCTTTCGACAATGGCCGAAGCTTTTTCGAGCTCGAGGATGCGAAGGAGTAACCTAAAAGGATAGAGTCCGAACCTTCGCTGCCTAAGAAAACCCTACTTTCACCAATAGACGCTGAGGAGGAAGCAGCTGATCTCATAGAAACAACCCCGGCGTGACTGGATAAGGGGTGTACTGAAATTCCAGAGACTGACCTGCCATCGAGCCTAAATTTCACAATCGCGAAGTCTCCTGTCGATAACACCAGCAGCAAATCACCACTGCCGTCGTCCAAAGTCTCAAGAACGCAGTTTTCTAGACGCAGAGCCAGGTCTGAGTGATCCGACATAGAAAATGCCGAGACAAGTCTGGAAAACTCGTTGACTCCGACCGCGTTGGTCTTACCGGCCTGATCAACATGCACCAGCTCATTGGACCCAATCAACAAAGCGCCGCCAACAGGAGGTGGGAGTGCTACCACTTTAAAGAGATCGCTGGGCAACCTAGATACTGAAAGCAGGGTGGTGGATGCTCGCTGTTCCAGATCGAGAGTAAACACGGAATAGAAGACAATGTCTTTTCTTTCTTGTAGGAGTGCGCTAGACGTCGCAACTTGCGAGTACAGTATTCCAAAAGTCGGTTCCCTATATTCGTAAAGAAATGCGAAACTTATTGGGTGCAGAATTGTTGGGTCCAGTGCACTCAATGGTAAGACGAAGGATGGAGCATACGGGGTTTGATATATTGTGGCCGGATTGGCCTTTTCACGATCGTTATCCCCAGAGCTGTGGCTTCCTGCATTCTGTCCTTCTAAGTCTGAGTCATAATCATCCATCACCAAGTCATCCCCTGGCTGATGAAAAGGAATGATGGCGAAATTCCGGATCCCGAAGTTGAATATCGCACATCTACTGCTTGGGTCCACACTAAGAATGCTGCCACAACTGCTTAAATCAGGGACCCAGGGACTACGGGTCAAGTCATCCCGCTCATAATAATGAATCGAGATTGTTGAGATACCACGGCGTTCCGGATCCCATTCAATCAAGCTGAGTTTGGCATTGCGAAACGAGATGAGAATGGCCTCTCCCCCGCTTCTTGAGTTCAAAATTTTGACCCGGCACAGGTTGGTTGCTGTGCCAGCTAAGGGGTACTCCTTCTCCAAGGACAGTTTCGTTGTTTGTTCGCTGAGCTGCCCATCCACTCGTTTTAGACCACAAGTTTTCCTTTGCAAAGAAAAGATTTGGAGTAAAGAGGTCTTCACGACAACGAGATTGGTAGATGATTCAGTCAGGAAAGGTAGTGCCAATGCATGAGTGACCCCAGTGGGGGCCAGCAATTCTGAATAGCACTGCATCTGCAATGTTGAGCGAGATCTGCGGTCGTCTTTTTAGTATAAATGGTCTGGCCAGCCACCCGGCTGCTTTAACTGCCTTGCCGTTTCCTCAACATTGCCTGATATCAAAGGCGAGGCAGGGTAAGGGGCGAAGAACAGGTCTGTGGCACAACAAAGGGCATACAATGAAAATTGGCGTGAGTCGAAAGGTACGTCCGGAACTTCAACAAAAACACTAGGCTCGGATCAAACAGAGCGATAATTTTCACGTGACGGTTCTATCAGATGATGTAAGACGCCACTGAACGGGCCTAGTCAAGTTATAGCTTTACTGACTAACCAACTCGGCTCTTTTCGCTAGATTACGGGGACGCTTGGCCTACGCTCACGTTCAGTTCAATGGTACTGTAAGTAGAACGGGCGTTGCTCGATGTGTTGACTTCTTCACTTCGATTGTCTCATAATCCGCATACATTTCATGTGAGCTACTGAACTATACCAAATGGCTTCTCTACAAATATCCCTCATTTGGGTCATATATGCCATTGCGATAGTCCTTGCGGTATTGGTAGCCTGGTTCCTCATCCACATTTATCAAGCCCCTCGAGATCGTTCGCGCGCTGTGACCTTAACTTGTATTTTTACCATCACAAGTCTTCTTGCAACTGTTCTCCTACTGCCAGTTGATGTTGCTCTGGTCTCTTCAGCGACGTCATCAAGTCTGGGCCAAAGGAAAGGTTGGGCCGCCCAAAATGATGTCGACAATGTTCTTCTTTCTTTGACTGTCGTATACTATCTACTCTATTCACTTGATGCCATCCTATGCCTTTTAGTCATCCCGTTTATTTATTTCTGGTACGAAGAGTATGATGAGGTTGCTACTGAAGCAGGTGAACAAACCTCGGCCCAACGACTCTGGGCTGCCCTCAAATATACTATACCTTTTGTCGCAATTGTGGCAGTGCTACTTCTGGTCGGCTCTCTTGTTCCTATGTCGAACGTCGAGAATGTCACTGAAAGTGAACCTCTTACGGCCTCAATGGTCGAAAATCGTATGCCCTTCGCTTCCTTTTTGAGCTTTGTTGCCCCTTGATTACCTCGAGCAAAATACTATCTTGATCTATTCCCCTTGCGAAGCTGACTCTTGACTTGCTTATATATAGGAGGCGAGCGGGCCCTTGTGTTTACAGTTGGAGTACTTATGACAATCGGAGTGCCTTTTTATGTCCTATATACGTCCACGGGCCTTGCTCTTCTCCCTCTGCAGGCAGTCAGAGTTCCGTCAGCACCGAAGGATACATGGAAAGCTGCCATCGCCATGCAGCTTGAGTCCAACAGAGAACGCCAACGCCAATTGGATCGGCGCTGCGGAGGAAATTCTGGGCTTTTGTCCTCCAAGGATCGTAGAGAATTGGATACCCTTGTTCGAGAGGAGAGGACATTAATCCGGCGCCAGCGCCTAGCAGACGAAGCACACGCGGAGCACCGAGACTGGGTCGTCAAACTGTTGCTAAAAGCAGAGGCTACATGCCGTCCATTGAGATTACTGGGCGGCATTGGCTTGTTGTTGATCGCGCTTCTTATATTGATATCCATGTTATTGACATCTATCGACAAGGCCAGCAACTCGCTCTGCAAACACCGTTGCGGATACCTCCTCAAACATATGCATATGTTCAATCCGATAGATTGGATCCTGGTTCAATCGACGAGGATATTTCCAATCGACTACATCATGTTCACGGTACTCACTTTACTTCTCGTCTCCAGCTCAGTATTCGGGATCGCTACAATAGGCATTCGATTCCTCTGGATGACAATATTTCGGATCAGAAGAGGCCATACATCTCCGCAGGCTCTTCTGCTGACAACGGTGATCTTGATGCTGACCATTTTAACACTCAACTATTCTTTGTCCATGAATGTGGCCCCGCAGTACGCATTATTTGGTTCTCAAACTTTTTGTGATCGCCCGCCAACCCCTGAAGGGCATCCAGATTGCTCAGATAACACGCAACTCATCAAACGATGTTCGGATATTGCAGAGAATACAGCTGCAAGGCAATCTTGTACGCCTAGCGTTGCTAGCACATTTGTGAATCATGTGACAACAAAGTTTCCCTTCTTTGGGGTGATACTTTTCTGGTCTCAATTCATGTTCATAGGTTTGTACACACCGCCCGTCGCTACTACCGATTGAATGGTTCGGTGAGACCTCCGGACTGGCTCAGGAGGGTTGGCAACGACCCCCCAGAGCCGGAAAGCTGGTCAAACCCGGTCAGTTGGAGGAAATAACACGATTCTACTCCCGCATCCCAGCGAGATCGATATTATTGACCTTTTTGTGTATCACAGGTTTTTATTTACTCGTTGTTGTCACGTTCATCATTCGCTCACCACGACAAGACGAGCTTTTACTTACCGAGGAAGCCGAAGTAGCCGAGGAGGAGAATCTCCTAGCGAGCACCGGAAGGCGTGGCAATACTGGGTTGGATGACACTGTACGAAGGATGGACAGGCAGGATGGCAGCAGAAATTTAGGATAACAATGCTTGTGTATCTCGTTCCAAGCAAGAGCTCAACCCAGTCATCAGAAAGCCGAGCAGCAGTGACACTTATTCGTAACATCATATGGCTAGATTCTCTTGGGTCGCCCACAAGGATGGCCCACCATTGCTGGGCAATTAGCAAAGCAGGAACAGGAGTGTGATCCAAACGACCGGGCTCGATTTTGTGGCCATGTGCATGTCTAAAGACGGTCGTCCAGCAATGCGAGAGCACTCTCAAATGCCTTGACAACATCGGTATCTAAGCCCCTGATCAGCACGGCCTCATTGACAAGAAGGTGTTATCAGGGCTATACAATGCCGCTTCTTCTTCTCCAAGCTCGCTTCGGAATTCTGAACATGTTGCATCTGGGTCTTGAATCTAAAATTGATATGTCAATATCTCACCTCTTGGAGACGAGATAGGAAGAAAACCTTTTGAAGGCTCTTGTTTCGTCGCGGGTAATAGTGGTTTGAGACCATGCCATGAAAATCTATGCAGAAATTAGAACAACACCATGTGAACACAAAGAACCACATGAACAACCTCTAGCATTCTCAAGATATGGTTCTGGAGGGCATCTTCTGCTTCTTTGTGTTGCTCCATGGCCTTGTAGAATCTGTTCTCAAGTTCTTTCCAGTTATATGCATCTAAGTTGCTGATGGGGAAAGCTTCCATTTGCACAGCTTCATGACACTCAATATGTGAGTGGACCTGCGCCTGCGAACAAGGCATTGTCAACTCCATTTCCGTGCTTGAATGTTGCATAGGGACTGGTGATATTGAGTCTAAAACCACAGTTTCAGACCAAGGTGAGGTGATCATCAAAAAGACTGTCAAGCGCAGCCGCTCAAAGATGGCAGGTTTGATCAGGAATGAGGTTGGAGGGAAACAAAAGGAAGGAAGGGGAAGCGGTCAGCTTCCAATAGGTATACTGCTGACACCTAAGTTATAATACTTCTACATAAGTCTCTTTGTGGTTTCATGGGCAGTATCTATAAGAGAGAGACATAGATACCAGACTCGATTTTTAGGGATGAAATTGTGGGTGCTCATATAAAATCAGCTTCGTTCAGCTATAAAATGGTCAGATGGTAATTATGATTATACCTATGAAGTGGTAGTATGTTTTACAGGTGATAAATGCTATTAAGACTTACTGTAATTTTAATACTTCATGAAAACTTTCTATGATGGGCGGTAAGTTAGAGCCTTTGAGTACTGTATTCTCTGTACTCTTACATACAGATACATAATAAAATAAGTAATAATGATATTGATATAGACTAATAATTATGACAAAAGCAATAAAACAAGACTTGCTTATAGAACACTTCAACAGCAATATCTTCAGCTACTAAAAACCCTAATAATCACTGATAACTATATCTCCTGATGTAAGAAGATTCCAACGCAGAGACTTGTGCTTTGAGTACAACAACAGCGCCATTAGAATTCCAGCCAGGGCCAATAGCCATCCTCTTTACAGGTAACTTGAGATTGCTACTGTGGTTCCCGATCTTCAGTCTGAGGTATTGTACGGAATGGGTACGGTAATTGATCTAAGCTTCGGCTTTTGCGTTAACTAACTAACTCGACTTAGCAAGTGACGTAAGCTGGAGCAAACCGTTCTTCCCTTTGGGACTGACTGACTACTGCCTGTCAACTTACCTCTGCGGCTCTATGTGATCGCCACTAGACTTCGACAAGTCATGAGGGATCTGTTCCCTCCAAGTCGGCACGCATGGGTATTATATCAGAGAACTTGACTTATAGCCATTTACTTAAAAGCTATCGCAAGACAGAACCACACCAGTGTCACCCTCAATGTTCAGCCTTCCTAAGAATCGGAGTTTCTTGAAATGAGCTGTCACATATGTTCCCGCCCTCCGACTTCAAACCTACGGTGCATCTGTTCCACATGTGCTCGCAATCGGCTCTACCAGCTACGGATCGAGTATTCCGAACTGCTACTTGAGAAGGAGTCTATAAAACAACAAATCGAGGCTGCAGTGTTACTGAGCAAGCTAGGCGAAGACCCGACGGAAAATGAGAGCATCTCGGATGTCTGCCTCGATGGAGTGTTTCCGTCCTGGGTTTCACGGAGGATCGTTGAAAAGGAAGCTGGGTCATCCGCGAAAGTGACACTTCTTACAAACCACATCGAGGGGCTAGTTGGTGATATCAGAGAAAAAAGACTTGAAATCTCCCGCCGCAGGGTATCTTTAGCACGGCGGCAATCGGACGCAGAATCTGCAAACTATCAGCTTTTCGAGCGAGAGACAGCAATCCTGGCCAGTATTCAGAACAGTATTAAAAGGACTGATCATCTCTGGCACTCGCTTCACAGCAAGACCACAGAAGCACGGATATTTCTGTGCCGAGAAGCAGCCAACCTCTACGATTTGCGACAGGGGGTGAAAAGGGTTGACGGTGCAGTACGAGAGACCTATACAATCGGCGGTATGCACTTGGTCGATCTCAGGCATATGAATGGAAAGTATACCCTGGGGTAATGGCTTGATATGTTTAATTTATTAATTCTTCAAGTAGGCATCTCACCAGCCCATATCTCAACGGCACTCTCATATATCGCACAACTACTTGTCCTCGTCTCCCACTATCTATCTCTAAGACTTCCAGCAGAAATTACGCTCCCTCACCGGAATTATCCTTTGCCAACTATATTTGCGCCCTCTGCATCGTACCTTCTAAGGGATGTAGGCTCGAAGTTGCCTTCTGCACAGCAGCCAGCGCCTGATCCAATGGAACCTCAGCGACTTGACTCACACCGTCTGTCTCGGCCAAGGCCTTTGTCCATCGACAAAAGTCTTCCCAGATTAGCGAAGGAGGATCCTGGCACATACGCCCTCTTTCTCGAAGGAGCGACATTGCTGGCTTGGAATGTTGCTTGGCTTTGCCGCACCCAGGGGCTCAATTCAATGTCAGAGTCTTGGGAAGAAATCTGCGACATGGGAAAAAATCTATGGCAATTGCTTGTGGCACCTCCCGCGCAGCAATCAACGCTAATGAGAGCGTTTGCTGGTCGAGATATTCACGTAAAGGTGAAGACATCCAAAGTCTCACCTAAGACTAGTATTCAACGAACCGTGTCATTCCCTATGCTGGGACACTATTCGCACGGCACTGCGCATTCATTTCTGGGTGCTGCCGAAGGTGCAGAGTTTATGCGCACTTGGAGGCTTCCATCTCCGACCAGAGTCATAGATAAGCTGAAGTCGACATTGATGGGAGAATTGGCGAGTGCAGAATGGGAGTTACTCGAAAGGCGCGAGTTGGATGACATGGCTCATGGCCGAAGCAGTTCCGTGTCTCAATCTTCTTCTATCATTCCCGTTAGTACCTACAAAATGGGATCTGTCGACGCAGATGCAGTCTCGGAAACATGTGATCTGGAGGTTTCAAGTGGTGCTGGCAACACTTCCCGCTTGAAAGGCATGAGTGGCTGGACCAAGCTGAGAAGCAGATAGTATATCCATGATGGAAGCCAATAAGCATTCAAGTTCAAGTACAAATATCGGTATCATATATGTTTGTAAATCGAGAAGCATAGAGCAGTGGCTAGAGTAACGTGACTTTTACCTTTAGAAGTGTTTGCACCCCCCTCTTTCAGATGACTCATCAATTGTCTAAACAAGACTACCTACCTAGTAGCAACACCTTCATACTGCGGGCAGAATCACGGTGAGGTGCTCTTGGTCATACAGATTATTATAGAATAGCGACCAGGTAGACAGTGCATAGGTGAAACGTTTCTGAACCAACTATTTTGGGGCAAGGGGTCTTCCGAACTCATTTCATCCCACTATACTCCGTACGGGGTAGATCTAAACTAATAATCTTAAGTCATGATGGCCTAGTACCAGTGCCAAAACTTCCTACCTTAATATGGTACATGTGATACTATTATTGAATCTGATTGGAATTACGTACTCCGGCAGGATCTTGAGACTTTGCTGACGCCGCGTAGCTAATTATAGCAACAATAGTACATACGTACTCCGTACTCCGTACTCCGTACCCATAGGTCCGCGGTATGTAACTTAATGTGATTACTTAGTCTATTTGGGCCAGTATTATATAATCAGGCTGGGAAGATAAGATGATCAGAAAGTAAACTCGTTTTCACCGAGTAATTCCGACACCAATCCTGCACAATGTGCCTTTGATACGAAGGTTGAAACCAACTTCATATGCCCTTTCCTAGGCAGGTCACTTGGAGCGTCCGTTAATCAGCTGGACATCGTTTTTGTCGTCCCTCACTTTTACTCGAGACCTTGCCGAAGCAGACGGCACGCCCAAAGTCTGCCATAAGGTCATGGATATAGCGGAAGTCGGAATTTCCACGGGCTTTAGACAAGAATGAACCCAACTTCATCATGGGAGCAGGCTAATATCAGCCATATCAGTGAGTCATAGTACACCCTATAAGCAAAGTGAGATTAATCGAGCACCACGACGAAATTGTCATTGCATGTTGTTGCGTTTCCTGAATAGCAATTAATAGACATTTGCTAATGTCGCAGGCTTCAGAAATGCCAGTTTGTTGATTGCGAGTATTCCTGATACTCTTCTACGGGCCGAAATAGCACGGCGAACCTCAAATGACAGTGCTGCAACCTGTGGCTCAAAAGAACGAGGTGCTTATAACACTCCAATTCATGTCCTAGCACTTTTTCTTATACTTGTGTTAAGCACACTTGGTATGTCTTATCTTCTTGTGCAGTACAGTCCAAATCCCAGGGTCTAATACCACAGATACAAGCTTGTTCATTCCCTGTACTTGCCCGCCGATTCCCCCGTTTACCAATACCGCGTCGATTTCTTTTTATATCTAGGCATTTTGGAACAGGAGTTTTGATTGCCACTGCCTTTGTCCATTTGCTGCCCACGGCATTCATTTCCTTGACTGACCCCTGTCTTCCTCGCTTTTGGAGTGAAACATACCGTGCCATGGCTGGATTTGTCGCCATGATATCGGTCTTTGTTGTTGTGCTTGTGGAAATGTTCTTCGCCCTAAAAGGGGCAGGTCATGTTCACGGGAGTGAATACGACAAGCTAATGAATGATGTCGGTATAGACTTGGCAAGTAGGGGTCTGCATGATGACTTAGAGAACGAACACGAGCCCGGAGGTCATGTTTATCTTGGTAGGCTTGAGGCGTATCATAGCACAGACGCGGTACCACCATCGTCAATTTCTAATATCGGAACCTCAACCAACGAGCCTACTCTGTCTAGCACTCTACGGCTTACTGAGTTGAGTGATGGTATAGACTTTGCCCGGCCACACCATCACGCTACTTCTCCTTTGGGTAGGAAGAGTGATCAAATGCATCGGCGCTCATCTTCTAGCGACCGACAAACTCGCGCTGATCTGCACCAAAGGACGAACATGGAATCATCTAGACATAATCCGCAGCGACAGCTACTGCAATGTCTACTGCTGGAGGCGGGGATTCTTTTTCATAGCATTTTTATTGGGATGGCCCTTAGTGTTGCCACCGGTACTTCATTCATTGTCCTCCTCGTCGCGATCTGCTTTCATCAGACGTTCGAGGGGTTTGCTCTGGGCTCAAGAATTGCGTCGCTCATTCCAGACCTCTTTGCCCCGTCTTCCATGAAACCATGGCTGATGTCTCTCGCCTACGGAACTACCACCCCTATCGGACAAGCCATCGGCCTCATACTGCATAATTTCTATGACCCAGCAAGCACTACGGGGCTACTTATGGTTGGGATCACGAATGCCATCAGCAGTGGTCTTCTATTGTTCGCAGGTCTTGTTGAACTTCTGGCAGAAGATTTTTTAAGTGAAACCAGTTACGCAACACTTAGAGGAAGGAGACGCATCGAGGCCTGTGTTGCAGTGCTGGCTGGAGCTTTATTGATGGCGGTCGTTGGCGCATTCGCTTAAGTAGTTAGGTTTCATCCTCAAGGACTCATGTCAGCTTACTCTCGAGTACGTAGTCACTTTTTCCACTGAATATTGAGACACAGGTTAGAGTCTGGTTTCCCATCAAACTCATCTAGCACCTATTGGATGAAACAGAGTGAAACAGGTCAATACATTCGGTTCTCGCGACACTCGTCGGTGCTAGCCATATTCTCTGATCCTTTTCCACTGCACCATATTTCCTAGATCTCTTTGAGCTATGTGTTCCCATAATTCTTTCGAGAGGTCCTTGCGTGGTCCAACATAGGATAGTGATCCAGGCAAGGCCATGGCCTGTATAACTTTTGGACATAGCTTCCACACTACGGCCTTTAATGTCAGAGAATTAGGCAGAAATGCTTAAGGATTGTTTTCTTCGGAAACAAACGTTGCTATATGACGTCTAGCATCTTGAAACCAACATTTGGCGGGAGAATAAATTGTTAGCAGACCACTCGTAAGGGGCTCGTCGGTCTCCTTCTGAACAAGAATGGCCATGAGCTCAAGTAGCTCACCAATTGCGCTTCCGAACATTAGACAAGAGATTCCACAACCATGGCGCTCGCGCCACCACCTCCATTACAAATTCCCACACAGCCAATCTTGCCGTTCCGAGCTTTAAGAACACCAAGCAAGGTAGTCAAGATACGGGCACCGCTGGCACCGATGGGATGACCGATAGCAACAGCACCGCCATGAATGTTGACCTTCTCTTCGGGAATGTTGAGCAATTTCATGTTGGCCAGAGCAACCACGCTGAATGCCTCATTGATCTCAAAGGCATCCACAGCATCCTGGGCAACACCTGCATGTTTGAGTGCCTTGGGAATTGCGAGAGCGGGTGCAGTGGTGAATTTACTAGGTTGGTGAGCGGCATCTCCCCATCCAAGGATTTTAGCAACGGGTTTGAGGTTAAGCTCTTTAACCTTTGCTTCAGAAACCAAAACGACAGCTGCGGCCCCGTCATTCAAAGGGGAGGAGTTAGGGGCTGTCACGGTTCCCGACCCAGGAATGAAAGCAGGCTTGATAGCCCGAAGCTTATCAGGATTAAGCTAGAAGGGAGAAAAGATACAACATCAGCCCGTGTGTGTACAAAAAAGCATTCTGTGAGAACCTACATTCTTCGGCTCCTCATCCTGGGACACCGTGACACCCGGCTTGCCCCTGAATCCAGGCAATTCGATAGGTGCAATCTCGTCATCGAAAAGACCGGCTTTCTGTGCAGCCTGAGCTTTTTCGTAGGTCCGGATAGCATAGTTATCCTGCTGTTCCCGGCTCAAATCGTGGTCTTGTGCACATTCTTCGGCTTGCAAACCCATAAGTTCCTGCTTGCCTGCATCGGTCAGGCCGTCTTTCATGATGCCATCCACCAGATTTTGATGGCCATATTTGGCCCCAGTGCGAAGATTTGGGAGATAGTGTGGGGCATTCGACATGGACTCGGCGCCACCGGCCACAACAACATCCGCGTTACCGGTCATGATTGTTTGGGCTCCAAGAATAACTGCCTTCAGACCAGATGCGCAAACCTTGTTGACCGTGGTACACACCGTAGACTCTTCAAGTCCAGCCCCAAGAGCACACTGTCTAGCGGGATTCTGACCAACGCTAGTAAGGACGTGTTAGAAGACCACTCATGAGCAGAGGCAATCTAAGTGGGAAGTAGCTCACTTTGCAGAGAGAACGTTGCCGAAGAATACTTCCTGAACATCCGATGGGTTAATACCATCGGCTTTGTTAAGGGCCGCTAATCATGAGTCCTGTCAGTTTCGGCACCGAGACTGGAGTAACTGGTATGTCAGACCTTTGATCGCATGGGAGCCCAGCTGCGGGGCAGTCTGGCTTGATAAAGAACTATGTAAAAGATAAGAGTGTGTGAGTTGAGGTTCAACCATTGTACATTAATGGTATCCTGGTGAAGACTCACCCCAAAAATGAGCCCACAGGGGTCCGCACGGCCGAAACAATATAAACAGGAGGAAGCGAAGACATGATGTACAGTTTTACCGTGCAGGTTACAATCCGGAGAAGAGGAAAATCTGTGCTGACTAGACAGTGAGCTAAATTCAGTGAAATACCAGACCTTTAGGGACTGCTGAAAGGAGAGCAAAGAAAGTGAGTCTGTAGGGGTAAATATGAAATGTCAAGCGGGATCGGTGAGACAAACGGAAACTCTTCACCTTGTACGGAGCACCCCACTTACTCCTGCCCAAGCGTAACTTAGCGGCCAGCATCGGACGGGCTTTCGGGGAGGGGCGGGCCAACGGACAAACGTACCACTTACGGAGGGATCAAGCAAAGCAGGACGCCAAGCTCGGGCCGGGATTTGCCTCGTACGTATCAATCTAGGCACAACCTCAACAGCTCGATAGCAGGGAAGCAGAAGGACGGAGTGGAGTCCCTTAACAAGAACAAAATCACATCATAAAGAAAGGCAAAAACAAAACAAGAAAGGGAACCTGACGTCAAACTCAACCGAGGAGCGCTCAAGGCCAGACAAAATAAAAGATTGGCTGATCGTCCCAATCAACATCCCCGAAAAAGAAATGCACTGTCAGTATCAACACTGCTAACTTTTTTGTGAATCTTGCGAGACAGTCTGTCTTCCGACTATAGATTGATATCGCAATGGACGATCTTTACGATGAGTAGGTCCCTGATATTCACTCCTTCTAGATATGCAGCTGACGGATAACTTCCCAGATTTGGCAACTATATTGGTGAAGTGGGAGAATCGGATGAGGAATCTGCTCTCAATGAAGGTGCTGAGCCCCAAGCATTCCAATTTGAGGAGGCTTTCGCGGGCGATGAAGAGGGGGAAGCCAGTGAGCATCAGTTGATGGAAGTGGATGGTACGTGTTTACCCGGTTCGCAATTGAAGCACCATCGTACTAAGCCGTCTATTAGAAGGTCCCTCAAATGCCGTCATCCTTCATGAAGATAAACAGTATTACCCGAGTGCCCAGCAAGTGTACGGGGAGGATGTTGAAACCCTTGTTCAAGAGGAGGACGCACAGCCTCTCTCTGAGCCTATAATTGCGCCCGTCCAACAAAAGAAATTCGCAATCGAAGAAGCTGAGCTGCCGCAGGTCCATTACTCCAGAGAGTTCATGATGGATTTGCTCAATTTCCCTGAGCAGATAAGGAACATAGCAGTTGTCGGTCATCTACATCACGGCAAGACAGCTTTTATGGACATGCTTGTTACGCAGACCCATGATTTAGCTGATCGTCTGGAGAAACGAGCCGGCAGACGAAAGGAGGAGCAGCTTCGATATACCGATGTGCACTTTCTTGAAAGAGAAAGGGGTATTTCTATCAAAATGGCGCCTATGAGCTTGGTCCTCCAGGGCACAAGAGGCAAATCCCATCTTTTCAACATTCTTGACACTCCGGGTCATGTGAATTTTGTCGATGAAGTGGCGGCCGCATGTCGACTAGCTGACGGTGTCGTGCTCGTAGTCGACGTTGTCGAAGGCGTGCAAGCGAATACCGAGCAGATCATCAAGCATGCTATACTCGAAGATCTTCCACTCACGCTGGTGCTAAACAAAATGGATCGGTTGATACTTGAGCTCAAAATACCTCCTAATGATGCTTACTTCAAATTGAAGCACGTGGTTGAGGAGGTAAACACTATCATCGAGAATATTTTACCGGGCCAAGGTGAAAAGAGGCGACTCAGCCCGGAACGCGGCAATGTTTCTTTCGCGTGCGCTTCCATGGGATGGTGCTTCACCTTGCATTCGTTTGCCAAGATGTATTCAGAGACCTACCCTCAGGTTGAGTCATCTGACCTCAGTTTACGTCTGTGGGGCGATATCTTCTACAATCCTAGAAGTCGAAAATTTACCCGGAAAGGATTGGAGGACGAATCAAAGAGGACATTTGTCAAGTTTGTTCTGGAGCCCATCTACAAGCTTTACTCGCACACGTTAAGCGAAAGTCCCGAAGACCTTAAGGTTACGCTGGCTAGTGTCGGTGTTGATATTAAACCGTCGCAGTTGAGATCTGACGCGAAAGCCCTACTTCGCCTGGTTTGTGATCAATTCTTTGGCGCTGCAACGGGATTCGTGGACATGGTACTCCAGCACATACCCTCCCCTGCAGACGGTGCACAAAAGAAGCTGGAGCGGTATTACACAGGACCCTTGGATACAAAGATTGCAGCAGCAATGGCTGCGTGTGACCCTGATGGCCCACTTGTTGTGCATGTCACCAAGCTCTTTACTAGTACGGATGCGTCGAAATTTCACGCTTTCGGGAGAATTATGAGTGGCACGGTCTGCCCCAGTCAACAGGTTCGTGTACTTGGTGAAGGCTATACTCCCGAAGATGAGGAAGACATGGTAGTTGCAACGATTTCCGACACTTGGATTGCGGAAACGGCATACAGCATCCCCACAACTGGAGTTCCTGCTGGCAACCTAGTTCTTCTTGGAGGCGTGGACAATTCCATTGCGAAGACAGCGACTCTAGTGCCACTTCAGCTCGAAGATCACGAAGATGCCTACATTTTCAGCCCAATCCGGCACATGACTGAATCTGTATTCAAGGTCGCTGTCGAGCCCGTCAACCCATCTGAATTGCCTAAGATGCTTGATGGTCTTCGTAAGGTGAACAAAAGCTACCCCTTGGTCTCAACTAAAGTAGAGGAATCTGGTGAACACGTGCTTTTAGGCACTGGCGAGCTCTATATGGACTGTGTGCTTCATGATCTTCGGAGGTTATTCTCAGAGATGGAAATCAAAGTCTCAGATCCTGTTACCCGCTTTTGCGAAACCGTTGTTGAAACATCAGCCATCATGTGCTATTCTATCACTCCAAACAAGAAGAACAAGATCACGATGATTGCCGAACCCTTGGATGATGGGATTGCCGAGGATATCGAGAGCGGCAGAGTTAGTATCAAGGATCCAATCCGCAAAGTGGCTCGCTTCTTCGAAGACAAGTACGAATGGGATAAGCTGGCAGCGCGAAGC